ATATATATATATATATATATATATATAGATCAACCTTAATATGCAGTACCACGATGTATACCTTCGTCTTTTGCTTTAACAATGTCAGGCTCTGATTTGTACTGGAGTCCTCTGGTATCCTTGTTAAATTGATCCAAATTGTCCACTGAGTGAATTTTTTGAACCCTTGTTAACAACGTAATCAAGATTCAAGCACCATAAATTACTTCTCTTCTGAAAATTTAAGATTCTGATATAGCATCCTCTCCCTTCCAATAGAAAAAAGAGACATGTTTGAAAATTGGCTACTTCAGATGGAGTTGTATGAGGACCATCAATGACAAGTAAGCCATTGGACATGAGTACTGTATGTCTTCCTCATCTGGCAGCCATGGAAGCATTGCTTCAAGTCCCTGATTTGAAACAGAACTCGAGCCACAGCCACAAAGAGCCAACAAAAGAATGTATGGAAGAAAGCTAATGAAAGCACAGTCATATATCAGTTCAAATCCTAGGTACCAGAGGAAAAGAAAAAGATAAAATGAAAATGCATGGAGAAATAATTTAATTACCCTACAACCAAGAAGGTGCCTAAAATATCAGTTACACCAAAAAGCCTAGTCCCAACTCAAAGCCAAATAGGGTGTCATATATGTCATATCAAACATCAGTATACAAAATCATATATTCGGGATACCAATATTTCTTGAGAGAATTTATAGTGACAAATCATGGATATAAAGTTATATATAAATTAGCTTAGACTTGAAGATAAACAAATTTCAGAATACAGCTCTTAATTCTTTTATTTTTTTTCCAATATTTCTTCCACATTCCAAGTCGAGTTTGGGTTCTCTCCTGTAATGAAGGTACAGAGAGCAACCAAGTCACACATTAAGTCATGGCATGGATCTCAACAGAATCCATCAAAATCACATGTCAATCTCAAACATCCAAGATTTTGATGGAGACATGGATCCGTCTTAAAGATGACCTCTCAAGCAGGAAACAATCTGAATCCTCCACCTGTATCATTCGCCTATTTTTTATCTAGTAGTACTGATTGCTTCATCTTTCTTGAATCAGCCAGTAAATAAGTCAGACAAAGCTCATATGCAGCAACTTTGGTCATTCTTACAAGCAATGAAGGCCAAAACTTTACGACGAATTCCCACTTCCGAGGATGCTACAACATAAAAAAGCACAACATTTATCTACTATGACAAATTTGCTAACATTTCAGTGCTACACATCTGATCCCAAATAGTGACAATTCTTTTTGTCATGACCTTCAGGCATTCATAAGCTTTGTACAGAAACAAGAATCTAAATCTTCAGGACGTATAGTTTAGTGGTCTTAATGATTCCTGATCAGGGGAAATTGCACATATATGCCATTCTCAAATGTTGCATATATGAAACTCGTTTGATGCTTCCAAGAATTATGATAACAAAACCTCTAGAACAGGACGAGTGCAAATTATAACTGTAGGGATCCTATTGAGACGATGTATTCCAAAACTAGAAACTCGATATCTTAGTGCTAAGAAATTATGAGTCAGTAGAAGAAATCATAAATAAAAGATAGCATGAAAAGCATGTAAGGTTTTTAGTAGAAGAGGAACATCTAGAAAAAAAACTCATATTAAGAAAAATGGTATTCCACAAAGTAATCTACTCTGTTATTTCTTGCAAATGCAGCAGTAGCAATATTTTCTCAACCAAGAAAAGAAAAAATTATCCATGCAGAAGAAACTTTTATTGCTTTTTCTAATTTTATAATTTAGAGAATAAGTAATGACATGCTACTTCCTAGCTAAAATCAACTTAGCATGAGATATCAAATTTAAATTAAAAATGATAAAGAGTACATTGAGAAATATTTTTTTGACTATTAGGAGTTTAACAAATCATCATTGCACCATTTCAAACATGAATTTTGATGTTGTAAAGCATTAAGTTATTGAACTGACTGAATCACGACTACTCTTGGGATTTAAGAAGTAAATCCTTACGACTTTTGGTGCTTTTGGCTCCCAGTGTATCATGATGGGCGTTGTGATTGCAACAGCACAATCAATTAATTGCACTTGTGGAAGAAAATCACCATGCTTCTTATGCAAGAAAATGTCTATTCAAGATATCCTGTTTCCAATATACAAGTTGAGGTACATAGAATAATTAGCAAAAACACTATGCGAAACATGAATACAAGGTCTAATCATGCAACTTTTGGTACCTTCCATTAAACATTATTAATGTTGGTGACAACCAACCAAAGATTCGAGTATGATCAAGAAAAAAGACTAATCATGTAAGCAGTAACCAAAATAAACATTGTGGTTCTGTGACCAATAATACTATTTTTTCTGTACATACTACGCAAATAAGTTACAGCAGAAGCATGGACGATTCTATATGGAATGACCAAGAACTTTTAAAAGGCACAATATCTACCAGTTTATAAATCACCAAGAAGAAAATGTTGTTCTTATTAGATTGCCTTCAACAGGACACTGAAACACAGTAAAATCAGTCTATATATTAAGACGGAACAAAAATCAATACAAATTAATATGGGTGGTTTGAAGTGCACAGACTGGAGGTAATAAGTCAGTACGTCAAATAAAAAAGTCCTTCAGGTAAGATAATTTGTCAGAAATTATTTAAAGCATCATAATAGCCAGAAGAGATGCATACAAAGCTTTCTGGATACTGAAACCTTGACATTAAAACTGTATAAGAAAAGAAAAAGATCAGGGCTGCCATAACTAAACTGTAAAGAAGGCATTTTTTAATGAAATTGCATGCTCTGCAAGGAAAAAGGATCATCTTAAGAATGTACCCAAGAGACATGTTGAGGAACACTGGCTTGCAGTGACCATAAATTACCAGGTTACTCAAGACATATTCCACAATTTACTGTCTTGGTTGAGCCGGAGTACCAGTTAGACTGCAGAAATGGCATATCCTTAGTCTTACAACCAAGGGCAGAAAACTTGGAAGTAAATCTGTCCATCTGCAGATCATAAATCATCCAATTCAACTATGTAACTTGGCTTCATTCAAGAAATATCAAATATATTGAAGTCACAAAATTGGAAATTTTCATTAGAAATAGCAACAGAACCAGATTACCTCATCAATATAATCGCAATGCTCATTCATGACATTCTAAATAAGTAGAAAATAAAACTAGAAGAATCAGGACCAATGGATCCTTTCAATCATACTATTTATTAATTAGAAAGTAAAATTAAATGTGTACAACAACTAATCCTTTCCAATTGGCCACAAGTTCCACAAGAAACAAGGCTTAATAAAAAAAAGCATACCATGGGAGAACTGTATGCACATATATCTCTAACTATCTTGGATTTTACACCAGTTATAGTACGAGAACCTAAAAGTTCTCTAAGAAGGTCCAACAGATAATTTGCAAACCAAGCAGAACATCTTGGCAAGAACAAAGTGACTAATCTTGAAAATCTATGAATATTTGGATTTGGGTTAAAAAAAACTTTTTCAAGCAAGGACTAGAAGGAGAAGGGCCATTTTAAGCAAAAATGGGAACATGAATAGACTTTTCTTGTGTATGAAATAAGGGGAACTGGTTTTATATGACTCTGCACTACGAGGATTTAAAAGTTATTTTTTGTTTAAAAAATTGACGCAACCATTTTGATAATTTTCAAACAAAAATATGAAAAAAGAATATAATTTTGTTTAGGAAGCATTATGAAAATTTTCTAATAACTTTTATGCTTCCAGAAAATTAAAAACAAAGTGCATGTGGCCATGAGATTTGTAAGACCTCTTCTGATTCTTCATCTCTTATCCAAATTCCTTTAACCATGAAATTGTTTCTGATTCCAATCCTTCAAAGTTGGTGCCGACATCTTAGCACAGGCATATTTAGGATAAGAAAGCGCTTAAATAAAACCAAGAAATACTTGGAAAAAGTACTTCATTGGTTGGGATTCACGAGAGCAAGGATCCACCATCCAGATCCCCTTAACATAAAGAGTACAACAAGGTAGGAAATGACAGGATAATATTTCAGGATTACAAAGCAAAATTAATACAAAAAGAAAAATAAACTTCAGTAAAATTAACCAAAAAACTAATAAATCTGTCAGTGTGTTCCAGGGCCAGTTGCTAGCAGTCACAAATTGATGCTTCAACATGCAACTGTCACAGTTATATTGCTTTGGGTGATCCCTGTTCATAATAGGTTATCAACAACAGTTTGATGTATGAAATAAACTATCATATATGCTGACTTTCAAAAAGTCTAATATTCCCATTAATAGCATTGCTATGTAACAATTATTTAACATATAAGCGAGACATCTTTTTGAAATGTTGACATAATACAAGGTCTTAAATTGCCTTCACTACCCTAAATAATGATCCATCAAGTCAAATGGCAATATTGTTGACTGCTCTGTTTCTAAGCAAGAAAGGGACGATGCATTTTTTAGTATTATCCACCACAACTGTCACAAGTTATGATAAAAATTTATGCAAAACTAAATATGCAGTAGTGTCAACCAAATATCTGCGAAAACATGAGAATGAGATTAACAGATCAAACTTCATAAAGAAAAGATACATAGGACCTTTCCAGATGATTTCTTAGGTGTCGCTTGTATCGGGATAACCCAAATTTATCTTCCTAAACAATATTGAACCAGTAAGAGACTGACATTACTCAAATTATCCATATTCAATAAATTATACATACCCTGCAACCCCGCAAGAACCTACATAACTGATTTTACCTATATCAAAGTTACACATTAGTATTCTGCAAAACTGATTTCTCTGAATACACTGTATACCATATAAAAGCTTGAGGCATCTGGTTCTGGTGGAACATGTCAACATGGATTCAGAACATACATCAATGTGCCAACCATGGGAAAACTGAACTTTCTTCAGGCACTGACAATATTCGGGGAAGATGATTCATTTTAATAAGACCACGATATTTTAAAAGAATTTTGCACTGATCCATGGCAATGCTCAATGGAGAGATGGCAAGCAGCAAAAGTAAACCACTCCTTGAGGTTCTTAAAAATCAACCAAAGAGAAGTTGACATATCAGGAGATCCTGAAGTTGACCTGTCTTATTCTTTATATGAACAAAGGCATATTTTCTCAAGTAGCAACAGCCAATCTTCACCAAGTTGCTGTGGGTTCAACTCCATCGCTACCCTAAAATCCTTCAGAGATATCTGGTTGTTTGTCTTCAGCCTTTGCATGTGTTCAGAAATCTTATCACTATTCTGTACATGCATGTGATTTCCTGGCCAAACACCATTAATTGGCTTCTCTTGAGTTTGCTGCTTGAAGACTCCATACTTTGTTTGATAATGACCTGACCTTGTTCCCAGTAATTCAACACATGACCTAATCAAACGCTTCAAATAAACATCTAACCCGTTATTTAATAGATTAGAGCAGTCCAACGTAACTCCTTCCAAGCCATGTCCTGCTGCTATTTTCTCCATCCTTCTCTTCAAAGCCTCCGTATGACATAATTCTCCACGGTCACAACTAAGACTACCACTGCTAGAAGTACTTACAAAAGGCAAAGATCTCCGTGCCCCACCCAAACTTGCAGGACAGAAGGGGATTCCAAGTGGAGCCTGGAAAGGACCTCTCTTGGAGCTCAAGTCATTAGCTCGTTCCAAATCTTCTGCATCTTCCTTTACAAACTCGATCAAACCCTTGTGATCTACATGAGCTTGATCATGAAGTGCCATATTTTCTCTCCGTGGTCGCTTTGCAGGATGATCTAAAGGGACACCTTGATGATGCTGCATCGATCTCTTCGAATCGCAAGGATTAATGACATCATTCTCTCGGACGATTTGATGGGAAGTTGCATGTAACCTTCCATTCTGTCCAAGAGAACTAGGACGGTCTTTGATCCTCCCGTCTCGAATGCATGACCTGACTTTGCAAGGGGACGGTGGCAAGATGTTCCCGTTGGACCATATAGTGTTCTTCGACATTGATGCTGCCAGATCATCATCTGTGCTTTCATCTTCAGATGATTTCGTTCCAACAGCTTCGATGGGCTTCAAAGCATCTTTCCCAAGTCCAAGTGGCGGTGGGTGTTTCACCAGGAAGGCATTCTTGAGGATCGAGCGAATAAGATGGTTGTGCAAATGGAGGTTCTCACGTCCGAGGACCAAAAGGCAATACTTGTTGAAGTCTGGTTTGCTCAGCTTTTGAGCTAACAACTGATTGACATAGCTGAAATATTGCTGAGACCGCTCAGGGCCAAGCTTTTTGGCTATCTGTGACTTGACGTCACCAAGATTGATCCGGGTGTGATGAGAAGGCTGCGGTGTCGGCATCTCTCAATGCACGGCGGCCATATAACTCACCAGATGAACAAAATTACTGTTCGCCCTTCGATTCTTCCACTCTCTTTCTCTGAAACTCCAGAAGAACTAAATCTTGATCCACTTCCAGAGGATTCCGAGAGCTATAATCAGTCTCCTTCTCCTTAGCTTCGAACAACCAGGCGAAAGTCTCATCTCCGGGGCACAAAACCCTAGCGCTAGAAGGGACTATAAGAATCCACTAAGTGAGCAATGATCCCGAGCTCGAACCAAGTCAAAAGGCCTCGCACGATAGGAGAATTGCGATCAAGCTAGATCAAAACCCTAGAAGAACTGAACCCAACTGAAGGAACAACCGATTTCGGGGCCAGAAGCTCGAGAAAGATGCCATTGTTGCAGACCAAATGCACAAAGCAAACACTAGGAAGATCGATTCCATGCTCCGAGAGGGAAGACCCAACATCAGCGAGGCGGATCCCGTTGGTAGTTGGAGGGCGGGAGGGGGAGATTTCAAAGCGAGAGCGAGGGGGCGGGGAAGCGCGGGCGAGGGAGCGGAGCGAGCGAGAAGAGATCGAACCTCGGGGACAGGAATGCAGGGAGAAACGCCGGCCAAGGGGGGCGCTGCGATTCCAAGCGCGAAGCCTGCTCCAATTCTCCCTTCCTTTGCTCTTCTCTCTCGACTTCCTCCTCTTCTTCTTCTTCTTCTTCTTCCTCTTCTTCTCCTTCTTCTTCCCGCACGCTACGTCGGCTCTAGGCGACTTCGTCTTCAGCTAGCGCGGCTGGCGCGGCGGTGTGGAATTGGATTGGATTGCTTCTGATGACGACTCCTCCTCGATCGATGCGGAGGCAAAACAAAAGAGAAAGAAAAAGATAAAAATAAAAAATAAAACACTTCCGCTCGCCTCTCCTCTTCCCGTTCTCCTCCCCAACCCCCTTCTTTTTTTTGCTTAATATAATATTTTTAAATTTGACATAAATACATTATTATTATTATTATTATTATTATCGTCGTAAATATATGTCTTAGTTAAAGTTGTTTTATCTTTTTATATTATTTATTTAAAAAAATATATAGCATTACACAGTTTTGACTGTGTATAGAGTGTTAAAGTTTTTATATATATATATATATATATAAATATATATATATATATATATAAATATATATATA